GGGAATTTGGGAAGCTAAAAGCCAGAGGGTTCCAGAAAAAATTGGAGTTGTACCAAGAACATAAGTGCTGCTGGGTACCTGTGGGAGCCCACGTGCCCATAGACCTCTGTGCTGCGCCAGGGCCGGGTAGGGATGGCGCTGCAACCAAGTGCTCCTGCAGCCTCCTCCTGTCTCCCAGGAAGGTGGTGCTTCAGGTGGTTTTGTCAGGCACCAGATGCTGCTGGGATGGGAAGGCCCTGGATGCATGTGTGAGGCCGAACTGTGGCCAGGGCCTCCTTGATGGAGGCAAGGGTGGAGAAGAGGGGCCTGGCTTCTCATGGGCCCACGAGCCTCTCCTGACAGCCCTGGAGCAAGAACACTGCGCTCTGCCCCACCGGGTCACCATCATGAAGGCAGCTAGATGACTGGCTGCACACAGGACGCCCGGGAAAGGGTCCCCCTGGCAGGATTGGATTAGTGCTTGGGATTCAGGCCTGGGAGAGGTGGGCAGAGGGTCAGTGGGAATGTGTAGGGTCTTCATGTCAGCAGCGACAAAGGCCCTGTGGATCAGCATCTATCAGGGTGTCCTGAGAGTGTGGAAGCATGTGGGCCACACCATTGCCTTCCCTGATCTGAATGGGAACATTCTCCCATACAGCAGACTCCAGGGCAAAGTTAGCACTTGTCTTGACGCCAGTGGCTGTACTTCTCAGACCTTTCCCCACCCTCCATCACTAAGGAGTCCATAGTTCTCCTGAGCCCTGGCCTGGCTCTGAGGACCACCTGAAACCCTGGGAGGAGGCAGTGACAAGTGGGTCCTAGACCCACGTCAGCAACACTAAGCTCTGTCTGTATACATGCGACTCACGTTTTCCTAGAATTCCTTCCCCCCTCCCCCATAATAGTGTCTTTGCCATTGTTTTCCCCAGAGTGAGTAACCCATCTCTGCCCCTCTCATTCCTCAGCACGAGTCAAGACACTGAAGTCAGAAGGCGGGTTGTGGGGGCAGGTCCTACCCAGGAGGAGCCGTCGCCACCCCAGGAGGAGCAGGACCAGGCGCTGACTCACTGGAAGCCCTTTCTGGTCAACATGTGCATGGCCACGGTCCTCACGGCTGGCGCGTACCTCTGCTACAGGGTATGTTTTCACTGACGGACGTGCTGGTGAGACCATGTGTACAGAAAGCACTGGCCAACAGCCTGGCGTTAGCATTCAGTGCTGTGGAAGGATCTGAGCCAGTCTCAGAAGAAACAGATCAAAGGTTTTAAAGTCTGGAACTGTGAAGGGCTAACGAGAGAATTGAGGATTGATGCACTGGGGTTTTAAGGAGCCCTGTGGTCCCAAGAATACAAGTGTCTAATCTCAGGGCCTTAACCTATTCAGGAGTAAGTAGAGAAAATGCCAAATACATCTCTTTCTCTCTCTCTTTTTTCTTTTTTTCATTTGTTTTTGGGGAAAAAATAGAATTACAACACATTGTTGTTTTTAACCTTTATAAAAAGCAGCTTTTTGTTATTTCTGGGGGGGGGGGGGGGGGGGGAGACTAGGCACTTATGAAACTTTCTTATACCCTTAGCTGGTGTAACCTGATACACAATTTCTATTTGATTTCCCAGGGAAAGACTCCCACACTTTGAGGAATGTAGAGTCCTCTGCAGAAGAGGGTTTAAGGTATAGGACGCTGACTTGCTCAGTCACTTCCTCTGCTGTGCACAGAGCTTGGCCAGGTCCTGCCAGCTTTCCCACTTAAGAAGAAAAACAACAAAAGGCCATCTGTAGGCATTAAACCTGGCTTGTGCTTTTGCTCAGGGTGTCCCCACTGGTTTTCCCTCACTCGTGTCTCCATTGATCCCTTGTAGCAGCCATCTTGCTCATGTCCTGCCCTCAGCACCCATCCAAAAACGGGGTTCCGTGAGGACCCTGCCTCAGGGTCAGAGGTCACCACAGGGTGGGTGGCCACCGGCTTTTTACCCTGCCATTGAGATCCATAAGGAGCAGTTTCCACTTGATTTGGACTGTAAATGCCATTTCAGTAGACAGCCACACCTGAGAAGTGAGTTGCTGTTAAAGCAAAGGGAAGGGGGAGGATCAGCTTCAAAACTCTGGTCATGGAAATAACCTCACAAGACTTTTATCATTTAAAAATTTTACCTCTTTTCAGGTGACCATCTTTGAGTGCATCAGATGGTTTAGTAACACACAGTTTTTCCTTAGGGATGATTTTTGGAAGGGGTGGGGGTGGCCAGGTAGTGGCCAGGGTTTGGGGGTGGCCAGGTAGTGCCAAGTCTGCAGCTCTGCTGGGCGGGTCTGGGCTCAACTGAAAATGTTTGGTTTCATTCCAGTTCCAGTTCAACAGCAACACATAATCTGACCCACCTCCACCCCACTGCCCGCTCCACTCACAGAGCCCGCACCTGACTAGCAGGCAACGTGGTAGGTAAGGGCCGACGCACAGCATGGCCAGTTTGACGGGGCAGATGTTTGCCCTGCACTGAAACTACCCTCCCCAGCTGTTGGTAGTTTGAAACTACCCCTTTCATTTTACTCCCCCCCCCTTCTTTATGTACCAAATCCACAACCTGTCTTTTTGAGGAGAGCAGAAGAGGGTCCCATGCTGGTGGCACAGAGGAAGGTGGCCTGTGCAGGGCGGCACACGGCTTTTCCCGGGAGACTCTGCGGACTGCGTGTTGTGAGCCTCTCCACTCCATATTTATTTTTTTATTTTTTCCCCAGAGGCATCCATAGTGCACTAGCATTTTCTTAAACCAATAATGTATTAAAACGTTTTGATGTCAGCCTTGCGTGAAAGGCTTTCTCAAAAGTACAATAATAAGCCCTCAGGTAGTGCTGAGAACGTATGACTTTGCCATGAGCCCACTGTGTCAGAGAAAGGAGGACAGCTGTGAGCAGTGGGTATTTCATGACACTGTGGGTAATGTGAGAGGAGGTTTGGCATTTGTTTATAGAGCAGTGGGGTAATATATAGCGAACACTTGGATATTTAACATACATGACAGGAGATGACTGTCCGGTTACTCCCCGCCCCAGTTTTATCTACTAGAACTTTATTCTCCATCACCGCTTTCCCCATGGGTATTAGAATGCATGTTCAGTCTTGTGTCCTGATCAAATACCACGTGCTTGAAATACTTAGATCTCTGCTTATAAAGTGCCCTCGTGTATAAGTCAAATTTCCCCTTGCATGATCAGATCATTACGTGCTGTGGTTCCTAAGACTGTTGCTGAACTATTTGCTGTTCAGCACTGGAGGGATGTTTCCAGTAACAGATACTGGCCTAATTCCTGGCATGAAACTCTGGTGACTTCCTGGTGAGGTCCGGCTGGGTCCCACTGTAACTCAAACATTCCAAGGAGATGGGAAGCCATAGTCACACCTCACGCTCTGGACGTTTAGGCAAGCAGGGTCCCCTGCACACACACCTTTGGGATCAGCCTCCACTATCCCAAGTGCACACTCTTCTTGAGAAGACTGTGATTTTGAACCAAGGCAACTGTTGGAAACCACACTTGAAGCAACCTGGATGATGATGGTCCCTTGGAGTCAGCCGGCTGCTGTCTCAGTCGGGAGGGCCTTGCTGAGAGAGGCCTGTCTGCCCCTGCCCTTGAACCCTGGGGACTGATGGTGCTCACGACTCTTCTTGTGAGGGGAACTTAAGACCTCCACATTAAGTGGCTTTTTTAACAAGAAAAAAAGGCAGCTGTAGCTCATGAGCTGCTCTTTTGCCAGCATTTTCACATTTTGCCTTTCACGTGTTAGAAGCCCGTGCAGAGAAATTCTGTGGTGGGAACATTTGAGACATCGCCCCGCAGAGCCTTGTGAGGTGTGGATGAGGCTGAGGTGCCAGGCTGTAAGCATTTTGAGTTGGGCTTGTTTGTTTTTGAAGTCCTGTATATGTATGTAGTAGTTTGAGTGTGTATATATAGTAGCATTTCAAAATGGATATAATGGTTTAACCTATCTTTGGAAAACAGATGGCTCTCCATCTTGTTACACGTATGTTAGAGAAGTAGCGAGCTGCTCTGCTATATGCCTTAAACCAATATTTACTCAGCAGGTCATTATTTTTTACAATGGCCATGGAATAAACCATTTTTACAAAAATAAAAACAAACAAAAAAAGCGAGGTGTTTTGGTATAATACCTTTTCAGGTGTGTGTATACGTGGATGCATGATGGGGTGGGGCGGGGGGCGCGTCTCAGGGTCTTCTGTGATTTCACAGAACTGTCAAACTGTACAGTTTTCCAACTTGCCATATAAAAACGATGGGTTTGCATTTTAGTTGCAACAATAAAAATTTTTTTTCTAAAGAATATCGATTTGGGGTGCTTCCCATTTCTTTGCTTAACTGGGCCTACACCAGAATAGACAACCCTGCTTTCCATCCCTGCTGATGTGAGGCAGATGCTGTCAAGCAGGGTTACAAGTTTCCACATGTAGAAATCACGAGCCCTCCACGAGAGGCACAGGGGCATTTCCTGAGCAGGAGTTCATTAAACACGTCCTGCCTCAGCCCACTTCCTTCAGCGGAACCCACCTTTGGAACATAGGGCCCTTGGATAACTTAACAGACTTGCACAAGTTGTTTGAAAAGCTGTTCAGACCTCAAGAACATGCCTCTTAACCAACTGCCTGTGAGACACAGTGGTTGTTAACGCATCTCAGTACCTCCGTACGGTCATGTTCGATGTAGAATTGACGTGGAAATAGTAAGATGTGCAAAATCATGTAGTCTTCCTTTTTTGTACAAAATAAATGTAAATCTCCCCTAAAGTGATTTTTTTGGCTTTTTGTTTTGAAATAATTTCAGACTTGCAAAATGTTGCAAAGAGAGTACACAGAGTTTTCTTACATCCTTCAAGGCTTTCTGACTGTTTCAAGGCTGGCTGCTGAGTGAACTGTTTATGCTTGGCCTCCTGGCAGGATCCTGAAAGTGGGAAACCAGCACAGTCATGGTCATGTGACCACACAATACCCACTGTGGCGGCCAGGATGATAGTGCCACACCCACGGTCACTTCAGTCTGTTTCACATACCAAAAAATGGCATCCAGGCTTTTATGAAGAGGTGGAATGCCAGTGTGGAAAAAACTAAATTTGTGACTTTGGAACAGAAATCAGATGGGGCTAAAGGCCAGGCAAAGGCCATACCTCACGGTGTCTGGGTAGGAGAGAGCGTCTGGGAGCCTTAAGAGAATCCTCAGGGGACACTGCCTTTCCTACACCTGCCTGTGTGGGAGAGCCCACTCCACAGCGTCACGCTGGAGCAAGCGCACTCGGGGACAGGAGGGCAGCTTCCCCCAGCGGGATGTTTGAAAAGAACCACTATTTACTTTTTTCGGGTAAAATGAAACACCAATAAAAATTGTTCTTTTTAATTGAAATTTCAGAAAGTTCAACATATAAACAAATCAAATAAATACTAAGTTAAATCGAAAAACACAAAATATATATAGGGAACAAATGAGAATGTTTAAGTTACAGAATTCTCCGATGCCGTTGTTGATAGCCACATGTACACCCCAGGTTATCTTGACATCATTAACACAACAGCTCAGGACACATTCGAGTCTTAGACTTAACAGGAAACTAACTTTGTGTCTTTAAAGCAACATGCTGTTCAGTGAAATTTCACACCAACTATGGCGTCTGAAGCAATTTATTTAACAGGCCCGAAGTTGACTTGCTTCAGAAGTTGGATTTCACTTTGTTTAGTGAGGTCACAGTGAATGCTTTTACTGACGTGACACTCGAGGCTTCTGCTTTCCTTTGTGCTCTTGAACATGGTGGAAAGACGGTCCATGGGCAGCGGTCTGTCACCAGGCATTTGGGCCACGGCTCAGGTTAAGAGTTAAATCAGAACCCCTGGCTCTGTACACTGGAAATGCCTGGACCCACTGCACGCTCCTTATCAAGCTCATAGGCCTGCCGGCCTCCGCAGTCCCAGCATTTGTTGAGCCAGAGGTGCTGAGCCAACTGACTGCAAGGAGACAAGGTCACCTTGGAGCCTTTTATTCCAGGCCTCAACTCCTTCATGGCATGGCTGGCTCTGCATCTGGGGAACAAATTCTCAAAGCCAACAGCTGATCGGTTGGTTGAAGTGGCCGGCCTGTGAAGTGCTGTACATCCCTGTGCTCCTGTACAAAAGTCCCACTTGCTCCCTGGGGCTTTATAACTGATCTGAGACTCGGAGCAACTCTGGACAGCTCATCCTTCAGGGGCGCACTCCATCCTCAGCTCGGCCCATGTCAGGACTGGGCAGCAGCAAAAACAAAGATGCCAGATTTGAGCTCATCCGCTGAGGGTTTTTTTAAAATATTGTGATTTCAACATCTGCCTCCTGGAAAAAGGCTTCTCTTTGTTCTGAGCAAAGTTTGTCCATTTTCTCAAAAGCGAAGCGTCCTTTTTCACCTGTAATATTAAGATGATTTGTCACCAGATTGTTCCCTGCCTTGGATGGCCTTGGCAGTTACTGACACCTGGGTCTCAGGGGCATTGGGGTGCACCTAATTGGCCGACTCGTGCCTCGCCCTTTTGTCCAAGACAGAGTCTACTGAATCATGTCCCTTGCACCTGCTTTCATTCCCAAGAAACATAAACTGACGTTTGAGGAGGAAATAAAGCACTTCTTGCCACCTTAACCATGAAGGAAACTTGCCTTGGCCAAATGCAGTTAAACGGTTGCTATCAATGGCCATCCCATGAGCTAATTTTCCTCTTTTGAGAGCTGGCCGTGGCTGCTCCAGCACCATCTTGCTAAGGACCCGGGGACCCCGCTGCACATAACGATTGATGGCGCACTTTACCGAATGACAGAGTGGCTTCCCGGGCTGCCGCTCGCACAGCCTCCAGGTCAGATTGGCACAGGCCAGCAATCTGGTCAATGCTTTCGATGCCCTGCTTAGGAAAAAGAGGATCCATTAGGAGACTTTTTTATTATTACTGATTTCAGAGAAGAAGGAAGAGAGGGAGAGAGAGAGAAACATCAGTGATGAGAGAGAATCATTGATGGGCTGCCTTCTGCCCGCCCCCTACTGGGGATCGAGCCCACAACTTGGGCATGTGCCCTGATCAGGAATCGAACCGTGACCTCCTGGTCAATAGGTCGATGCTCAACCCCTGAGCCATGCTGGCCAGGCCATTAGGAGACATTTCAGGTAGCAGGTAGAATCCACTTGTAGAAGCCTGCAGGAACAGCCCTAGCATGGTCTGGGGCCCGATTTGTTTTCTGAAGGCTCTGGGCTGCTCCTGTGGGCTCAGGTTCTTCCAAAGCACCAATGCAAGGGTCTCATTTTTCAGTCCTGACACCTGCCAGCAAATAGGCCACTAGCATTGATGCATAGACAGCTGGCAGGCCCATCTTGAAAATGAGAAGACCTGATGCCCTCTGGACCTTGCTACCTCCTCCCTGGTCTCCCAACCATTCCCTCCAGGTCAGACTAGGAGCGGGGCAGTCAGGGGCCTGGATTCGGGACCCCTGACCCCAGGCTGCTCTCCAGGGCCAAGGAACAGAGTGCACTTCAGCACCGTTTACTGGGAACCCTGACTGGCTATTTGATTATAACCAAGCCATTCAGAGTGAATGGGGTGTTTCATCTGTGCTGGACTATTTTTCACCTAGTAAATAGGCAATTATTTTTTTAAATGAGAATTCTAGATGTAATGAGGTTGAAGCTTTATGCTTATAATGACATTATTTATAATAAATGGATAATGAACCTAAATTATCTACAATAAGAGTAGGGGAGTAGGTTAAAGTGTAACTTTGATAGATCCTTTATAGAAAATTCCAAGGCATTACCAGTCTAACACAAAATGTTATTATTTTGTTCACTGTTTTTGAACTATAATACCAATTTTCAGTGCCCACACATCCCCACAAGCAAAAAGGAAATGTACCAAAATGTCGGTAGTTTCCTCTGTTAGGATGATGGGTGATTTACATGTGTTTTACACTCTTTTTCCTCTACAATTAGCTTTTAGACATTTTTAATCGATATTAAAGAAGATGATGCAGGAGTTCAGAAGTGAATTTCTGGAGCCAGCTGCTCTTCATCAGAGGCAAAGCAGATGCTCCTCTCAGGCCAGCTCTGAAGCTCCCTTTTTGCGAGCAGTGATTTTTATTATTACTGTTATCTTTTTGGTCCTGGTGGAAAAGTTTTGAACTAACTTTAACCACAAGCAGGCTTCCCCGTCACCGTGAGGACAGGTTGAACTCACCCGGAGCTGTTTCAGAGCCACGCATGCAGCTTGCTGGAGTTTCGCATCATTCTCGGTCAGGGCGTTGGTGTAGAAAAGCAAAGCCTGGGGAATGAGGCTGCTGTGAATGAAGTGGGGAGGGTGCCAGAAGCACAGTCCACGGTGCCCACGGCTGGGCCCCCAATTGCTGGCAGTAAGTCAAGCCCTGACCTTTTTCTAAGCAAAAATCAGGCCATGATCCATTAATCTCTGGGCCAGGTGCAAAGTCCCGAGATGTATACTACTGAGCTGCTCTCTAAAAACACTGGTCTGGTGGCAATCGAGTGCGGAAAGCTCTTTTCGTCTAATGTCTATGAAATGCATTCCCGAACTGCTATCTAGAGGAAATGCTAACAGGATCGGATGTTCGGCCGGGACAACAGAACTGAACACACAGACGGAAAAGCATCTCCCCTCCCTCACCCTCTTCCAGTCACAGCTCTGTCCCTGCCCCCTTGGTCACATGACCATGGCCAAGTAAGTCACTTCCTCTGGAAAATAAAGTTGGCACTTGCTTCACAAAATTGTTGTAAGCACATGGGGATGTGCCTGACCCTCAGCGAGCCTGAGGCTATAGTCAGACCCCAATATTGCCCTCCTCGGGGGCTGATATCTTAAATCTAGAATAGTCACAGGTCCAGGAACCTAAAAGGCATAGGGGGTCCAATTTCTTGGTTTTCAAAAAGTGGAGTGAACACAACCAGCCAGCCACACATTAACTGCAAGTAAATGAGGATGACCACTCGAATTCTAAGAAACATGCACGTGACATCTCCAAGACCGAATAGATAATGTTGCCTTAGAAACACTGAGGTGAGAGATGTGGGTGGCATGTGTTCCTCCCAGGCCTGGTGCTGCCGATGGCGATGGCGTGAGGAGAGCTGTGTTCATGTTTGGAGCATCCCTAAATCCAAATACCTTGCGGCAAATGCAGCCCCCGTCACACACACCTTGGTCTTTTCGAGAGAGAAAGCCTCCCTCCCTCCACCACACCTACGGCCAGGAGGCTGCCACCTCCCCTCATGCATACCTTTTCCCGAAAGCTCTTGTTCTTGGCTGCGCTGGCCAGAGACGCGCTGGCCGCCCTGCACACCTTGGGAGGCCCGTCCAGCTGGAGCAGGGCCCAGGCCCTTAAGGTCTGGGGCAGGGGCTGGAGCTGGCCCAGCCGCTTCCCCTGCAGCTTCCGGACGGCCTTGGCCTGCCCCGTGCACTGCAGCTCCTCCACGAGGGTTACTGGAAGAGACGGGAAAGTGAGCCCGCGGTCCCCTCTGATGGTGGCTGGGCTGTCCAGCTGCAGGTTGGTTTGGCCATGGCATTAGCCATGGAGAAACAAGTCCCAGATCAAGCCCATGTAGTCACCAAGGCCCATCTGAACTGGCTTGAGCAGGGCCTCCTGGAATCCCTAGGAAGGCTTTCTAGCAAGGGATCCAGTCCGCCCTGAAAACCAATACAGCCCCAGCCCAGACTTCAGGGTCGCAGGCCAGTCGAGCCTCCCATCATAGCCAGCTGTGACTTCGGCTCTGTGCTGAGAGAAGCCATCTTCCCCTAGAGCTAATCTCATCACAGGAGCTGAATGCGGGGTCTCATTAAATTGGGGTTCTTAAAAGAACAGCTGGAGGGGAAAGATGCAGTGGTTCTTCAGAGCTGGCTTCCGGGAGCTGGGACAGGGGCCTCCACGGCTGGAGTCCCTTTGCTGTTGCACGTGGCTGTGAGGCCACCAGCCACGCTCCCAGCCCCTACCTTCCTTGGTGAGCTGGGCAAAGTGCTTCTCCAGGTCCGAGACGCTCTGCCTCTGCAGGTAACTGTGAAACTGGAACCAGGTGACAGTCTGCTCCTCAGGGAGGCCAGCTCCGGGGAGCAGCCCACTGCAGCTGACCACCTGCTCCAGGAGCCTGCGGCACGCTGGCAAGGAGACACAGCACGGGGCTGTGAGACATGGAGACCTCGCCCCCTAGGAGCTTCTTAGCTGGCGAGGCCAGGTCAGCTTAAAGTAGGGTTCTCAACCTTCTGGCCCTTTAAATACAGTCCCTCATGTTGTGACCCAACCATAAAATTATTTTCGTTGCTACTTCATAACTGTAATGTTGCTACTGTTATGAATAGTAATGTAAATACCTGATATGCAGGATGGTCTTAGGCAACCCCTGTGAAAGGGTCATTTGACCGCCAAAGGGGTCGCGACCCACAGGTTGAGAACCGATGGCTTAAAGGCTTTCTGAGGGCATGTGGGTGGGTGTGCCTCCCTGCATCGCCTGTGCCCGGTGAAGGAGGGGGCTCCAGGTGGGGTCGCACGCAGGCCGGACGTGGGTGGTCTTGGGGGCACAGCCACATGGCTGGGGCCAGGACTGGGAATATGCAAGCAACTGAGCAGCCCAGGTGGGGGTCAGAGCTGCTGACAGCCAGCTTCTGGAGTATGAGTGTCACCTCCAGCTGTGAGCAGGAAAAGCTGTGCCTTCTGAGCCCACCCTGTGGGGCAGATAAAGGCTTGCCTACCTTCCATGAAGGTTCTTTCTTAACCCTTCAAGGCTCTGGTGGAAGCCATGGACCCTGCCCCCAGGAGAAGGCCCAGCCCACTAACTGCAGGCTCACAGCCCCCTCGTTCTCCCCAGCAGAAGGCGGTGTTCGCAGTCATGCTGATGCCATGAAGACACTCAGGGGCAGCTAGCATGGCGGTGAGGCCGCTGTGGCATCACTGAAGCCCGGAGACGCGGGGCAGCGTCTCTGGGGAGATGGGGAGTTACCTATTTCCAGTTGTCCCGGGTACTTGCCCCGGACTCTGTGCAGGAACGTCTTCTTGAGCTGGTTCAGGAGCGTGGGGGCGGGGCAGGCCAGGACCCCGCCGGGCTCCGTGCACCCTCTCCACAGCCTCAGGCAGCCCTTCCTCCGTGCAGCCTGCGGAAGGACTGAGAGCCCAGGCTCAGACCCGACTGCGCGGAGGAGCGAGCACAGGGCCCAAAGGTTTCCCTCCACTGGGACTGGAGGTCGGGAGCTGAGGGGTGACATGCGGTGTCCTTTTCCCACACTCCACGGTGACAGAAGACAAGCAGCTTCAGCTCTCAGCACCTCACCCGGGTCACCACCCACAGTCCTCACAGCAGCCCGGGTGACTCCTGTCACCAGCCTGTCCTCATGGACAAGGGGAGGCCCCGGGGCAGAGGCCCAGCTGGGGTCACAGCTGCTGTTTACGTGAGCGCATGCTGTGCTCCTGGAGTGTGTCCTGAGGATGCCTTCACCAACCCATTTCCCGGATGGGGAAGCTGAGGCTCAGAAGCCCAGAGTCACCCAGCTGACCACAGAGCAGGTGCCTCTTTCTCCAAGGCTGTGTGGCCTCCCTTCCCGCCCCCACAGTGTCTCTGAGCCCAGTCCAGCCAGACACCCCGGGCTCCGGTTAACTTTGGACGTCAGGAAGGGAGACAAGCTCGCCTGCCCTCGAAGCCTGTCCCTGTGCGCCATTCACATGAGCAGCCGGTGGTGGGCCGTTACTTACTCTCTTCCACAGACGTCGCCTCTCTGACCTTCTCAAAATCCAGCACAGACAGAGTCTCCAGAACCTGCTTTTGCTGTGTAGCTTCTTCCAGAAGGCTCTCCCGGACCATCCTCGACAGATTAGGGGAGGCCAGTTTCTGGGAAGCAACCCACATGGTCCAGGTTAGCACGGACACGCCCTCTGATGTCAGTCGTCACGACCGTGGCCCTCAACGGCCTGGGCCCATCTTTCCTATCCCTGTGGTAGCTCCTTGGCTGTCCCCTGGGAGTGCCCCCTCCACCACAGTGGCTGGGACACAGGGTCCGACTGGAGCTGCCACGGGCGGCCTTTGCCACCAGCAGGGACCAGCCTGCCTGAGAGCAAAGCCAACCCACACAGGAAAGCAGAGCTGAGAGAGAGAGGCCCAGGCATGATGGCATCTGAAACCCTGGATCCAGCCGGGCCTGAAGCCCACCTCTGGGCTGGTCAATTCTATGAGCCAATGGATTTTCTCTTTGGGTTGAGCCAGTTTGGATTGGAGTTCTGGCTTCTGCGACTGAAGGCCTCCCAGCCACTGCCTTTGAGTCAGGGCTTGGGCTGTGTAAGAACCACATGACTCCCCCCGGCCTGGCCTGATGCTTCCCCAGGGGAACCTTCTCAATCCCAATGGCTCTCAAGGTGTGGGCCTCTGGCCCCTGCACCGTGCTCCCTGCCACCTTCAAGGTCAGCCCTTCCCAGAGAACTCCCAACCCCGCCCCCCCCCACCGGGTCCCCTGGCCAGTCCCTCCCTTTCCACCTCACCCCCCTGGCCCCAGGCCCCTTAGCACCTGCAGCAGAGCCTTGCAGACTTGGAGGTGGACCGTGAGCAGCGTGTCCAGCTCGGGGGCACCAGTCGTGAGCTCCCGGGATGACTCTCTCAGTGATGGTGGTGGGGGCCGGGTCCTGTCCTTTCTGAGTTGAGTGGAGAACTGGGTGACCGTCTGGTTGGGTAGAGGGAACCCGCCCTCCCGGGAGAGCTCTGACCAGAGAGACCAGGGTGCTGTGGGAGCTGAGGGTGGACGGCCATGCAGAGGGGTCGGGAGCAGTGACTGCTGCCTGTCAGGTCAAGGTTAGAGGCTCTACTGTGTCCTCCATCATTATGTATTTTTTAAGATTCAAGCCCATTGCTGGGAACAGAAAGCTCGGGGCTAGGCCAAGCTATTCTCTTCACTGGTCCCTGGGGACCTGCTCTGTATCAGGCAGTGGGCATGTGGGGGTGGAGGGGGGGCACAATAAATCATTAGAATAAATACCTATCGGGCAGAGGGAGACGTAGGCAGGAGGCGGATAGGAAGGAAGGAAGGGGCTAAGGCTGGTCACCTGGTCAGTGCTGGCGGGAGCACTCACCGGGGACCCTGGGGACCCCCAAAAAGGGACAGCTCGTGGGGGGCAAAGTCGGCGTTGAGGAAGGCGAAGCTCTCCAGGATGCATTCCATCAGGCTCTCGGCCGAGCTGTGCTCCCGGCGGCCTCCGCGGGGCTGTGGACGGAGCAAGACCTCAGGACAGCCTTCCCCACCCCCCACCTCCGTCCAGCACCCCCACCTTAACAGCGTCCCCCAAGCGGGCGATGAGCACGGGGCACAGCACTCCCCAGGCAGCCTCCCGGGTGGCATGTGACAAGGTCTGGTGCAAAAGCTCAAGGGAGACAGATCTTAAAAGTCTCAACTGGTCACAGACACCCACGGGGACAGGGCAAGAGACAGGAGGGCGGGAGTGGGGGACCATGCAAAGTAGGAGAGGGGGCGCCCTCCCCAGAGAGGCAAGCCGCAGCTCCAGCTGGCACCGGCCACTTCGGACCCTGGGGCCAGTGTCGCTAGATTGTTCAGTTTTCTAAGGAAAGCTGGAAACCTAGAGTTTGTGGGAGGCTGCCCCGTTTTTAAATATTGACGACTGATTTCAAATTAGTTTTAAAATATGGTGTGAGTCAGGCCGAACGCCTCTTCAGGAGGTTCAACGGTGCCTGCGGATCGCGGGGAGATGTGGAAGGAGAGGCGGTTGGAGGCAGCGCTGATGGAGGGGTGCGTGTCGGGGAGCACGTTGGGCTGCCCCTGCTCCGTCCTCGGAGCCTCCTGGTGGCAGGCCTTAAGCATGCATGCGTGCGAGCCTCGGTCTCCGCGGTGCTCTATAAAGTCTCCGTGACCCCTGGGTTGTGATCTGGAACCGTTGCTCCACGGGGAAAGGCAGAAGCTTCGAGCCTCCGGTCACATTTTCACCAGCGGCCAGTGTGTAACCATGTCTTATGTGTGTTTCTGTTTAAAGACATCTTACTTCATATGCATTGTTTATTTCTAAATGAATTCAAGCCAACAGCATGTAACTCAGGCCTAACCCACGTATGTTCTCCGGGAGGCACATCACTGCCATCTTCCCTTAGGACACTGGCCAGCACTTCAGCCCTGCCCTGGGGGACTTTAAAACAGATCAGTCACCAAAAAAAGCACAAAAATATAAAAAAAGGAGCGCTAAATAGACTGCAAGGGGGACGCACCTACAGTGAGGGAGCTGAAACAAGACGGCAACGGCGCCTGGTTCAATGAGCACGTCAGTGACTCAAAGTTTCTGTCACTCTGCACCTGACAGAACCATGAACATTGATTCTGGGGCTATAAATACATTTTTGCAAGTAAATGAATTCACAAAAAGAGAATCCCTGCATAATGAGTATGTATGTAAATACACACACACGTACACACACATACATGTGTGTATAATTTCTCTTTAAAAAA